AAATAAAATATACCTTTATGAAGTTATCAGTGAACAAGAGGGTACCATAAAGGGCTGACTTGTTTGCTTCATTAAAAATAGAGGCTTATGCGCAGCTATGAAGATAAGATGTACCATTAATAGGGCAAAGCTCAGGAGTAGCCAGGACACAGGACACACTGCTTCTTTGCTGTGTTTACCCAGGGAGCCCCAGAGCTATCTAGTCTCCTGATCTTGAAAGGTCCCAAGGCTGCTGACTCAGTGGGGTGATTTAGGGAGCAGAAACTTCCATATCTTGTCATGGTGCCCATAAATCTCCCCTCCAAATTAGTGTTTTCCAATCCTAGTTGAATATGCGAATCTGATGGGGAAGTCTATAAAATATATTAATTCCCAGGACCCACCCTAAACAAATAAAATCGAAATCCAGATCTCCCAGTACTGGCATGAGTTCCCCAGGACTGCTGATTGCCTTCTGATCCTTAAAGACATCCCCAAACAGTCCTTCCCAGTTCATGCACTGATGGTGCAGTGCAAGAGCTGAGCTGTGTGCACTGAGCATGTCCAGAGCCCCAAGATAACCTCTTGCTTGGTGACTTTGCCTCAGTTATTGTTGGACATGCAAACACTGACTCTATGGCCCTATCTCCAAGTTGAAGAAGGAAACTTTGCCAGTTGTTTTCAAATAACCTGGAGTAATTTTTTTCTTTTTTTAACTGAGTTTTATTCTATGATTTATTTTTGAATTTTGTTTTTACTGATTTTTAAAACAACTTTATTTGAATATAGTTCACAAACCATACAATTTACTCATTAGTCTGTGGCCTTCCCAAGTCCTCAAGAATCCATCTCACATTTACAGTGTGGGGCAAGTATCACCTCAATTAAGTTTCAAAAAATGTTCACGCACACCTTCAAGGAAACTCCATTCTTTTAAAAATACTTTTTCAATACTTTTTTGTTTATAGTAAAACAAAGGCATTTTAGGAGCACATAAGCATTTGGTGTTCTTTCACAGCTTGCTTTGGACTTCCAAAAGCTTGGGTTTTTTTCCTGCTTTCTTTCTTTTTTGATAAGTGCAGGCATTTGTTTGGTTTTATCAGAGAGTCATATTCTTATCTCAAATATGTGTCTGAGTGGCTCTGGGTAACAATAGGAAAGGTGCCTAATTGCTCGAGCACAGTGCCAAGTCTTGGCTGCACCAAGTCCTTAGCTTTGCGGTGCGGACTCCAAGCCAGACTTCCTGGCTTGCTATTTCCTGACAGCTTTATAAGTTTGCAGGAGCTGAAGATTTTCAACAGATAGATGCTGCCTCCTAGTTGTGAGGACTATGGACAACCAAATGCGTGGTGATGCCAGGGGATAAAAACAGTTTGGAAAAGTGTTCCTTTTTGAGGAAAGTGGGGTGAATGTTCTGTATCTTTCCCCTGCTCCGAACTCCCGGGGCACTTTCTGCCTCTGTCCATCTTAGCTCCCACCTCCGTGTTGTTTTCCTGTCTTTGGTGACCTTATGTTCCCAATGAAATTTTTACTGCCTATGTCTGGCATCCTGCTTTTCTTTTCTTTGGCTTCCTCTCCAGCTGCTAATGTAGGATAGAATTTATAAGTATTATGTGGCTGATTAATTTTATTTAAAAAGTAGCTTTTTGAAAAAAAAAAGTATCTTTGAAATAGGAGGGTGTCCTTGTGATTCTTTGGGGTTTCCATTACTCATGATTTTGTTTTGGAATCTTGGGTTGAGCCTTTCTTGAGAAACTTGAGTCCATAAGTGTTTCTTGATATGAATCAAAACACCTCACATAATTTTTAATTGGATTCTGTCTCTGATCACACACCATGATCCTAATTCGTGGTGCCACAGAGAAGAAGCTCACCTGACAGGACCCTCATTTCTTTATCCATAAAACTGAGTGAGAGTGTGTACCCCTGTACTTGCTCTGGGCTAAGAGATCAGAGAGGAAAGGCCTAAAACTGGCCTTGCAGACATTAGATACTTATATCTGTCCTTTCTCTCCTGTGGAAAATAAAGTGCTCTGTGATTTCTTGTTTGTTTGGTTCACCTCTCTTTCTTCTGTTCTCCTGCTTCCTCTAGTAGTAGACAACATTTTCTCTGTTTGCTTTTAGAAAATCTTGCTATAGACTCCTGTGTTGGATCAAATTTGAAATATATCATTCCCAAATATTTCATTCCCCCAACTCATGTTATATAGAAAGTGCTCCATTTTTCCATGGATTAAAAAAAATCAAGCACTTTCTGTAAAAATGTAACTGATTTTACATAATGAATAGAATACAGAATATTGAATAAGTCCCAGGAAATGGTGAGGGCAATGGTTCATTTATACAGTTGCTATTAACTGGAAATTGAATGGCATTAAGTGATTCTTGCTAATTCTCTTAGAAGGATGTCAGTACTTCAGCTATATGAGGGGATATCCTCAATTTCAGGAGATGTTGAAAGACTCCTGTGGGAGGATTTAAGAGTAATGTTCAGGATACCTGCAGTTTATTCTCAAATATAGACACAGATACAAATGTAATAAATAAGTCTGTCTGTTTATGTAAAAATAAATGTAAAAATAGGGCAAAGCATGGCAGTGATGTTCACTGTTAAATCTAAGGGTGGGAATGTCAGTAGCCATTGTATAATTTTTTCAACATTTCTGATTGCTAGAATTTACAATAAAAAAGCTGAGTTAAAAATTAATTGAGGAACTATAGCCCATAATGTTCCCCAAAACACCATTTAATTATGTGATTTTTATTTATGTATACATTTTTGTACATTATAAAAAGCTTCCTATTTCTTTTAAAATCACAAAATACCACTCTTAGAATATATAATTTTTAAGAGTTAAAATTGTCTTTATAACTCAAACTTAAAAAGGGATTTACATTATTATTATTTGGAATTTACATAATTTTGAATATTTCAGTGGACACAAATAACTGATTTTGGCTAATCTGGAGAAGGGCAATTTTGCAACAACTTTAAAAACGTTAAAGGAAAACGTCTTTATGTCTGTATTTTAAGGGAGAAGAGACAGTGCATTTACTGTGAGGTAATAAATCATAATATATATTTGCTGCAAATATAGGAGGCAGAGAGAGACTCTAAGGAGAGCCTGGAACTTTGAGAATTAGTTACCTTGTTCAGTTTTCCCGTTTGTAAATGGAATAATAATAACTCCTGACAAATAATAACGCCTCCTAAAAAAATTATTGAGGTACTCAAAACAGTACCCTCACCAAAACAAGTGGATATGATCATTACCTGTAACTATTCTGAAAAAGATATGTAATTTAATGTAAGAAATGAAGTGATATTACGGTTCTAAACTTACAGTTCTGGAAGGAGACAAGTTGGGCATATCTCTGTTATCATAGATCTGTCCCTCTCAAATTCCATCTCCAAATGGTCAATGATTCTTCCCCTAACTCTAGCCCCAGCCTGTCCTTCTGGACTCTACTCACCAGTTAGTCTAAAACTTAACAGTTACCACCTAGCTGTGACATAAATGTGGGGTTTTAAATGGCCCTTTTTTCCTTCAAGATTCATTAATTACACGATACTAATTGCTCTCAACTGTGGGCATGCAAAGTCTTGAGCAGGGCATCTAGGTAAAACAAGCGCAGCAGAGGCCTCCCTTACTAAACTCTCCCTTCCTAGCTGTTTACCAAGAACTGCAGTTGCTAATCCAGGAGCATTTGTTTGGGAAGAATCTTCCATTCATGAAAGTGACATTTCCCCCCACCCCCCTAGTTCCTCATACAAAGAGCTGTTAAGGAAAGCTGTAGCACTGTGCTTGGCGATCCTGGGCCTTTTTTTTTAATTTGCATATCTGTTAGATTATAGGAAATATTCTCTTATTTCTTTTAGTACATTATAGTGGTACACAACAGATGTTGTTAGAAACCTGCTTCTTAAACGTTTCCCATTTACTAGGTATGTGTCCTTGTTAAATGCAAGCCAAGTGAGTTTCAGTCCTAATTTTTGAACTCTTAAAATTACATGAGCCTCTTTTTTGGGTATCAAATAAGAATGCACATGGAAAATTATATAAATAATAAATAGCATAAATTATTTTTCTTGTTACTATTATTATCACTTCTTACTTGTAACAGCTGACCTAGGTTGTGAACATAATGGGATTGTATGTTCTATTTTAACTGAAGGTGATAAGGCTTGAACTCCAATGATGTGTTTTTATTTCATTATATTTAGGATCCACACTTCCTTGCATATCCTACAATAAGCAAGAAATGAAAGTCTTTGCATTCCCTTCTCAGGAATATAAAATTTTCTTTCATTTCTCAAAAAAAAAAAAAACAGTATGACTTACGTTATCAGAACAAATGAATATATAGGTGGCTTAAAGTTTTTATAGGCAACATAAAAATACTTATGTTCTTCCCTATTGTGTCCTAGTGAAAAAGACAGATCTGTTTCTGGACATAGTGAAACCCTAAAGCCATAGTAGGTGGAAGTCACAGGTCTGATTTTGCTACTTCAGGGCTGATTTTTCTGCATGTTGAGCACCTGAGGGAGGAAAAACTCCAGGAGATCAGTGGCCAAGGGCCATCAGAGGAGAGGGTGGACTTTGGAGGCTTTTGTCCTCTCTCAAATTCATGCTGAACTGATGGTTAGGTAGGACTTGAGGCTAAACATGATCCTAGACATCTCATTTCCCTGGGAAACCAGCTATCTCCCACACTGGTAATTTGGGCTTTAAATTGCAGGGACATTTTGCAGGAGACGAGATGCCGCGCTGGGATCACCATCAGACCTGTGGCTGATTAATTACAGACTAGCTGTCTATGTCCCAAATGAAAGTCTGTAGATTTCCTTGATTTTTGAAACCCCCCTACGTTGGTGTGGAATTATCAGCATTCTTGGATAGATTAAAGGACCTTGTTTTTAAAGTCTGTATATTTAGCCCTCTGAGATTAAGATGACTATTAAACGATCACTTATGACCTCCCTCTATCAAACATAATATTTTTTTTTTTATTATTTTTAGCACGTCAATGAAAAAACCAGTGGATCACCTTCCAGACCAGGAGACAAGAAAGGATCAGATGAGGTAATTTCCAGAAAACTGGATTTTTATTCCTTCTTGTTTTGAAATTATAAATTCTGTCTTGCTTTGAACTTGTAAATTCTACCTTGAAACATAAACTAATGAGGTAGCAAAGGGATCCTACTGGAATACTAGAAAATTTAGTTTTAACTAGACATTGATTCAAGAATAAGTGAAAACTAAAGTGTTCCTGGGGAAGGAAACATTGGACCTAGTTCCATGGAGAACTAAAGCTCAGTTGTTTCAAAGACTGGTGAATCCTAACTGCTTGGCTGTTGGACATGGTAGATTTGAAAGGGGAGACTCAGGTGCAAAGGACATCTCTTTTCATGAGAGTGTGTGCACCTTGAAAAGAGGACAAAATGTAGTTTAAATTGACCACTCATTCAGGCTCGTAAACAAAAGGAAGAGCGTGAGAACTACTTTTATTTGGATTCACTCTGGAACTACTATAAGGTAAAATGAGTTTTTTGTGTCTGAGACTTTGTCTTTTTGTTGAATGATGCTCCTTTCTGCGAACTGTCAGCGCTGGCCATGGTAAGTCACAGGAAAGTGCTGTCTTTTGAAGGAGCTGAATTTTTACATTTTAAATCTTTAGCAGCTTTTTGCATTTTATATCTCAATAGATATCTTCATCTTCATTGTAGAAATTGTGACATTTCCATCTTGTGGAAGGTCCTTGTAGCCAGGTCCTGAAAGGTCTTTGAAAATCTAGAAACTATAAAGTGTCCCTTTCATTTTCCTCTGTATTTTCAATTTATAGCTCCTATTTTTTGCTTATTTCCCTGCTCTGTCTTGTACCACTTTATCTTTCCCTACATACTGTCCTTTGTGTCTTTCTGTTTCCCTGCCTCCCAACCTCTGAGAATTCATCATGTTTTTCATTAATATCTACTAGTGTAGAGAAGTATTTTACTTTGATGCAGCTGTCCATTGGTGGACATTTAGGCTGCTAAATGTCCATGCTGCTGGCAGTTGTAAATAGTGCTGTATATAGTTTTAAAATGTCAATATGTGAGGAGGCCCTTTCAGGTACAACCTGCCATGGAGTCTGAGCTAAGATTTACTCCTCAATTTTCTACTATTGTTTGTTATCACTACCCATGAAAATGGAATTTACATTGTTTTTTACCAAGCATATTTATAGTTAAGTCTTTGTAAGGAAGAAAGGCACATATTTATTTAAAGTTAAAAAGTAAAACTTTATTAAGATTGTATCCTGTTTCCTATTAAATTATTAAAAAATAAATTTCCATATTAAAAAAAAATTCTCCCTTTTACGAGCATGAAAATCTTTGCAGTAGCTTTCAGTTCCCTTACCTCACCCTATTTTTTCAATAAATATATTCCTGGATAAGTTATCTATCAGACAACTTCCTTTTTGAAACAAATTGTTGCATTATTTCTCGGGCCAGGAAATAATGTTTTGAGTGTATTAGTATTAATTGAAATTAAACTAGTTGCACAGAAGAGGAAATCTTTTGAAGTGTGGGCAAGTACATAGGCCAATTTTTAAAGGATCATACTTAACAGTTGTGTTGTTATATGGAAGCTTAAATCTTACATCTTGAACTATAGGCATTGTTGGCTTAGGTGACTGCTAGCACAGCCTTTTTATAATATCTGGGCTATCAAGTATGTCATTCCCATATTTATAAGGGACATGGAAAAACTGGTAAGAAGCTTGTAAGTGCAGCCAGGGAGAAATTGAAAGCTTCTGATTCTGAAGGGACAGATACAGTTTGCAGCTGAAAAACTGACGCACCTCAAGAGAAGAAGAAATTTCTTTTCTCTTCATGAGCAACTTGGGCAATTTTGACGTTGTTTCACAATCCTTCTGAGAACAACTCCCACGTTTGTGCCAGAGGCTGGACATACTTGTGTGTTCTGCTCTGTTCCAACCAGCAGAAGCCAAGAAGGATGAAGCTTTGCCCCGCCTGGTGACATGAGTCACCATAGATTCTTACAGTCTGAGATTGAAGTTTGTTTATCCTGTCACCAAACCCTGTCCATTTCTATTTGAGACACTGGGCAGACCTGTGAGTAGGGAGTAGAATGACTTGGGAGTCAAGGCATAATTTCAATATCATCTGACTCCAATGAGTCTATAATTCTTTGTTATATGCAAATAAGACACTGATAAGATGCAGACATTCACAGAAGCCATCTGGTATTAAGCATTTTACCTTTTATGTGCAAAGTTCATAAACCGATTTGCAATAAGCAGCTATCCAGCATCGGTTCCCTTCTCAAGATAACCAGAGAAAGGATCATCAAAACTGATTATTTTCCTCCTAAATATTTCCTTATCTACTGTTCTGTTGAACAAGAAGTAAGATTAAGAAATTTGGTTTTGGGTTTAGTATTCCCTTTTCAAGCTAATAAGTAGCGTCAAAGATTAATAACCTGTTGTCCTGAAGAATATTCAGACATGCTATTTAGACTTCCCAGGTCAAACCACTAACCTTTGCAAGAGCTTCTCTTTGAAATATGCTTTCTATATCCATAGATACTTAGTATTTTTGCCTTTTTCCTATGCATTTCGTTTGAAAATACAAACATAAAAGGGGGCACACAAAAGGTGACTTGGAAGTTATATAATCACTGGTGTTAAGTAAGAACCACTATAATGTTGTCATATGTAAAAACACATAGTGATGGATGCAGCTGTGTGAATTTCAGAGTACTTTCTCTCCTGCTATCATAAATTGTATTTTTTAGATTATGACTTCTAATATAACTATTAAGTGATCTTAAAATGTCTGTAGCAATTTCAGTAGATTCTTGCAGCCAAATTATTCTTTGTGTCATATGACATTAGCAATACAGATACTTGAGGACAAAATATAGTTAGAGTCTGTGAGAATGTGCTTGTTTGTACAAATTATTATGACTTTATTAAATCCTTCTCAGATACAGAGATCCAAAGTTGCATAGACTATATAACAAGTTGAAGATAAAAGAAGCCTTAACAAACCTACAGTCAAACCTATTTGAAGTATTTGGCTAACACATCTGGGCACAGTCGATTGATGAGCATGAATTTAGCAAAACAGTTCAGCACAACCTGAGGAATGGAATTTAAAGTATAAAATGGGCATGACCTCACATAGCTAATTCTATAAATTTGAAATTTAATGTCAAAATATTTTAATATATTTTTTTAAATTTTCTTATTTATTTAATTATTCTTATTTTTTTACGTTCCTGTTAATTTTTGGACAATATTTGATTTGTCGCCTCAGATACAGTCCCAGTAGTTCTCCCACCACTATAGCACCTATAATCCGTCATCATAATCCCTTGTGCTCTTCCCTTCCCTCCCCTGTTTTGACCCCTTTTCTTCCCCCTCTCCTGCTGTCTGCCTCAGATCTACGGTCAGCTTGCAGTTTTGCTTTTTTTCCTTCCCAGTTGTTTGGTTTCTTTACATTCCAACATGTGATTCCACATCTGATATTTATCTTTTTCCTTCTGCCTATTTCACCTAACATAATACCTGCCAGGTCCATTAATAATAATGGAGATATTTTTATGGGTAAAGGATGATATAAAAGAAGAGAATAGAAATTGTACCTTGGGCCCTCCCTGGTGGTGCCAGGGGTTTCACCCACATGGTGCGGCAGACGGCCTCTAGCCTGCCCGCTGCTCCCCTCAGCAGTGTATGTCAGTAGTTCTGCTGTTCTGCTCCCCGCTCTGTCTCTGGTGAATCCCCTTACCTGCCCCCCTGCACCTCTGCCCTGTATCACAGTCCTTGTTTGCATAAATACATCTTTAGAAAAAAAAGAAACTGGAAATATTATTTGATGTATTTAGCATGTTTATCTCACTTACTTATGCCTCATCCTATAACACATGTTTTAAATATTGAATAAACCACCATTTTGTTTTCTTTCTTTTTTTTAATTAATGAAATTAGTTGTTTTTTAATCACAAAAGTAATATGTACTGTTGAAAAACAGTTTCACCCAAAGTTGTGGAGAAATAGCATTTTGTTCCCTGTTAAGGGTGCAGATTTTTTACTAAAACCTCCTTGTAGTACATTATGAGCACTGCTATTGCTTGAAGTCTTCAGGATAGTCATATACTCTTTGTCATTCTATGAGACCAGGTTTCTTTATTTCTGTTTCCTCATGCTTTGAATAAGCTCTGCATCTAGAACCTGTCAGCGATCCAGCACATCATCCTTAACCGTGATAGTTCATGTCCACAAGAGAAATCTCCTCAGATCTCTAGCTGTTTGGTAGGTGGGTGTGTGCAGCCTAATGTAATCCCTGTTGTTTATTGGGGTGTTGTCGAGGAGAGAACACCACTGGTATGAATTAAAATTCTTGGAAAGGCCATCGCTGGTGGCATAGCGTGTTGGAGAACTGCACTACATGAAGCCAAGCAGTGACCGCTTCAATGCAAGTTTGATCCCCACCCCAGAGTTGATCCACATGGTGCAGCAGACTTCTCCTGTCTTGCCTGCTACTTCCCTCAGCAATGTACTTTGTCAGTCTGCCTTTACTGCTCCCCACTCTGTTTCTGGTGAATCCTCTCACTGCCCCTGCACCTCTGGCCTGTACCCATTTCTAAATGGATGGATGGAGAGATAGATAGATAGGTAGATAGGAAGGAAGGAAGGAAGGAAGGAAGGAAGGAAGGAAGGAAGGAAGGAAGGAAGGAAGGAAGGAAG